ACCGTGTGTCATGCCGAGGCAACATCCTGCTTCCCTGATTTACACAAGGGATTGTGGGAAAAATGAACGGGAGAAAGCATCACCGGGAACGTCACCGAGGAGCCAACAACCGGGACTGACCCTCTTGGAAACGTCCCCGGACCAGCAAGGGCTGACACAAGCAGCACACCTGACCCGCTGCCTCCCGGGCTGCCCAGGACGGACGCGAGGAGCCCCGAGCTCCTGTGAGGTCCCAAAGGAGACTCTGCAGCAGGACTGAGCTGGAACCAGGCCTGTGGCTGGATGGGCACCACAAACCCCAAACTGCCGTGAGCCACGCTGTCCCCAGGGAGGGACAGCACTCAGCTCGGGCACGGGACACGCAGCAGTGACCACGGGAAGGGAAACACAACTCCAGCAATCACAGCCCCTGCTCCTCGCTGGCAACAGACACTGGCAGTGTTTAGTTTTTCACACAATCCCTTTGAGATGATAAACAGGATGTCACACGAGGTAGTTTAGTTATGGAAATTGAGTCAATAATGTTATCAACTATTACAAGACATTTTATAAATTGAAAGAAACAATGAATCACAAAAGGCTTTGTTAAGGTTGATCGTCATCTGGTTTCAATTTCTGTTTCTTTTTGCCCTTGGGGGCATTTCTTCCACTGAACCATGTTGCTTCTTTCACAGACTTGTCAGAGGGCAGCTCACAGGAGCTATTTTTAATTTATTTTTTTTCCAAGGGAAAGACACTGCCTGGATCGGCCTCCCCAGCTTTTTGCGAGGCTGGTTTAAACTCAGGTTTGCAGACTCTGGCTGAGGGTGCTGGGAGGGTTTCAGCCCTTCAGACTTTTGGTGACTCTCAGTGCTGGCCCTCTCTGTGGCTGGATGGGGCTGTCTGGACACTCACAGCAGCTGTAACCCAACCAGAGTCACACACCAGCGCCCTTCTCAAACTGTCTGACTGTTCCTACAACCACAGTGAGAAAGCTGTACTGATGAAAATGAAGAATTCATGAGCAATAGAGTACAGAGCCCTGCGACTTGCTGCCAGGGACACAATGAGAAATTCCTGTTTCCCCTTTTCCATGAACAGTCAAACATTTAACAGCAAAGGCAGAGGGATGAGGGAATGCAGGAATAGAGCCCCACAGGCAGAGCTGGTCCCCAGCTGCTGGGGGCACAAGGACACAGCCTCGTACAGCCCCGGGCACTTTGGGATGCTCTGCCCACAGCACCACCTCTGAGCCTTCAGCAGGCACACTCCCCACAGCCAAAGCTTTCCCCCCAAAATCCCCACATGGGGCTTTGGTCAGCTCTCAGTGAGTCCTCCAGACAAGTGGGGAAAGAAGCAACTGTTGCAACATCAAAACTAGGGTTTCTCTGGGTCACATTTTAAATACTTATCCCTGAGCTTCTGTGCATTGAAACAACACACCGTGAACCCAGAGAAACGCCACAGCTTGATACTGATAGCTATGCACTCCCCTCCATTTACACATCATCTACAACTTAAAAATTAGTTTCATACTTTAACTAGTTCCCCAAGTTTCCCCCTTTCTCCTGCCTTTCATGTGGCAGGGATGATTGCCGCTTATTATCCTGAGAAATAACAACATTTTCACAGACACTGAGCTTCATAGCTTCAAATCAAAACCAAGAAAGAAGAAAGAATGAATGGGAAATAGCACATTCACAGGAGAATCTTTTTTTTTTTTCTTTTTTTCCTTTTAAAAAATGTAGTAAAGATAAAAGAAATTCAAGTGTTGTTTTTTAAAAAAAAAGTTGGTTTGAAGGACAAGACTTAAACTCCTTTACCAGAAGTGGCTGTGGGTCTGTGCAAAGCCTGAGGAGCAAGGGCAGATCCTGCTGGCACAGGGGAGGGACAGCAGCAGAGCCACTTGAGCCTTGGCATGGCTGGGGACAGGGCCACCAAGGCCCCCCCAGCCAGTGAGAGCAGCCACACTGGGGGGGTCAGGGCTCAGCCCACCTGGCAGGAGCCCGAGCTGAAGGGGAAGAAAACTCCATCACTTTCCAGAAGGTTTTGTCGAGGCCCTGGGACCGAGCCCCGTGCGCGGGACCCTGCCACTGCTCCTCAGCAGCCTCCCCTGAGCACTTCAAATTTATGTCCCAAATCTCTGCTCGGATTAAAAGTAACTCTTCAGCTTTCTATCTGCACAGACGCTTTGAAGGAGAAGAGGGGGTCAGCCAGCCAATCTGTCTTTCAAATCGGGGATAAAAATTGACTTGTCGTGGCAGAAAATTCTACCAAAGACTATTATTGTTGATAGATTTCTCTATGACAGAAGGTCAGATAAGCAAGAGCAGATAGATACCAAAGATAATGAACTTCCCCCTAGTAGCATTAAGCACAAATAAAATATGAGTCCCTGTAAACTGAATGTTACATGAAGAATGGGACAAAAATTCCAACCTTTCCAGGGTGTCCTTCAAACCAAATTCACAAATACATCTACCTAACATCTCTACGTCTCTAGCTACATTCCTACCTTCTCATAATACCTGAGTTTGCAATGCAACACATTCACATTACCCTGTTTAAAAAAGACAAGTCATTAGAGGACTTGGTGCAGAAGATATCAGGAATGACTGTCCCGTGATTCCATCTGGTCTGTTTGCTGCTTCCTTACCTGTCAGTTCAGGAAGGATTTTCTACTCCCTATGGCAAATGTGTGTTTGGGAACGGATACTGCTGCCAATCAACCTTTGTAAAATTTGCTTTCTACAACAGAAAGTGGAACATTCATGTCTGTTTGTCATCATAACTGAATTTAGGTTTTTGGTTGTTGTTGGTACAGCATTAGTTTTGGGAGGCTATTTTGGAAAACCACAGATTACCCAATAGATTATTTTTGTTGGGTAGCTGGCAACAAGATGACTGGTTTTATGTACACTAATTAGAACACTTATTCATCAACAGATTATAATAATTCAGTAACTGTAGAATAAAATCACTCCTATGCAATTTTAACAATTCCTTGAGTGTATAGAACAGCAAGCCAGAAATAACCCGTAATAAAAAGATCATATCAAGCTATTTGGAAATTAAACTCAAAAGCTGAGAAATACATTCTAACTTACAAACAGATACACTAAAACCTTCCCCTGAACACGTGAGGTATTGGCTGTATGCAGAAGGCTTTCCTGAGAATACACACGAGTCTCATTGTACTGTCAGAAAGCAAATGAGGTTTATGGAGCCACCTTTGGGGGCGAAGCTCCACCGAGCTGAGCCGCTGCCGTGCCCAGCAGCTGGTACCCGTAACATCCTGCTTAAATAATGAAAAATGAACAGCCATGGACTTTAAAAGAGGGAAAGCGTTGAGCTGGGAGATGCCCAAGCGGGATTGCCGCGGTGAGGCGGCGGCAGGGCCCTGGCACGGTTTGGCTGTGCCAAAGCAGCGGGGCACAGCCCCCTTGGGAGCACCCCCTGGGCCAGGGAGGGAGGGAAGGACGACTTTGGTGAAAGGGATTTTTCTCCTGCTCACCATCAGGTTCGTGCACAGCAGCTGCAGCCCTGCTGAGCTGTGCTTGCTCTGTGCCACGCAGCTGCCACCAGGGAAAGACAAGAAGGTAGTGACTCGTCCCTCCTACCCTGAAGGAACAAAAGTTGTTTCCACAAGTATTTTTAAATCAGCATTCAAACACTTATCGAGGAGCCACCTTGCTAAGTGAATGCCAGATTGACACCTAAGGAGGCAGGGAAGGAAATCCAGCCAAGGCTGTCTAGGAGAGTGACACGAGTTTTTGAATATGAATTCCTAATGAAGGAGATGAGATCAAGAGCATCTCATCCAACCTCCCCACCATGAGCAGGAAATCATGAGGTCACTCACGAGAATGCCCAAGTTTAGCTAAACACCAGCACTTAGCAATCACTCAATCAGCTACTCAGCTGTCATTAAACCAGTTCTCCATCTGGAGCTGTGGAGAGCCTGAGAGATGGAAAATCCAAGCCTTGCAATACCTAGAACATGGCAGATAACCAAGTACAGCAGTAATGTAGTTTTTCCTGGGATTCCACAAAGAACAGGACAGTCCTGGCAGGATGTAACTATGGAACACCCATTCCCTGAGTCCAGCAGAGAAAGCCATGCCAGAGGACACTGGAGTCCCTGACCCCACTACACAGGCCCCATTTAACACAGGATACAGTAACTGCTCCCAAAACGGGGATTGCTGCAATGCAGAAGTCTCAGAAGTCAGGTACCATGTTGGAGGAACACATTAACAGGGGCAATCCTGCCTCTTCTCTAAGTAGGTTTTTCCTGCTTTTGTAAACCTAAAATGGATGTTAAGGAAGTGATGATAAAGTCCTTGCCATCTTCTAGCAACAGGAGCACCTTTGAGTAACGCCAGGAGCCTGTTATGAACTGCAGGAACACAATTTCAGAGGAATTGGCAGGTGTTGTGGCAATAGTAAGAGGGCAGCTGGCCAGGAGGGGCTGGGCAGACCCCACCTGCAGCTCCCCAGACAGGACAGGACCAGGGAGCCCCTCAGAGCACTGCCATCCCACTGGAAAACTGCATCTGGAAACTGCCAGGGGAAAAGAAACCAACCGCCTAGACAGACTTCTTCTCCACTCCTGCCTTTCTAAAATTAAAGAAAAAGCTTGGCACTTCTCTCAGCACCCACTTCTCCAGAGTCGTCCCTTTGGGATACTAACAGCTCTGTCAACATTTGCGCTCTGTGACAATTGCTTTGGATGCAAATCATGGAAAGAGCAGTGCGTGAACAGCATCTTCTCCTTGAGGTAGTCTTAGTCATCTCGGTCCCCAGCCCCAAATACAAAAGAACTAACCCTAATAAACACTGTAACATTAAACATCTTCACATTCTGTAAACTGCTGGAGAATGCATCTGCTGCATTCTTACAGAACCATGTGCATCGTGTTGAAGATCATACATTCAACTCTGTCGTGAAATAAATATATAGGAAAACGAGACTTAAAACAAAAAACAAACAAACAAAAAAAAAAAAAAAAAAAAAACCAAACAAAAAAGATTCTTGCTACAAGGGCAGGGAGGCCCACTGCCCTGTCTCCTGCCTGGATGGCGTTTGCCCTCTCCCATGTGAGCTGGGCCTGGCCCCAGGCTCAGCCAAGGCACCGGCCGGGGCCAGCTGCGCTCACTCTTTGCTCACACTCGTCTTGCAGGAATGTAGAACGGCCTTAAAAAGGAGAGGCAGCTGCTCCAGAGGGACATTCACCATTTTTCCTGGTAAGAAAGAAAGAAACCAGAATTAGCAGCCACAACTGAATCAGATTTCAGAGGCACCTAAGCCAGCAGCACTGGAGACGGTTTTACCTTGAACCTTTCACAGAAACAGTTAATCATCCTACAGCTACATTAGACATTTGATATGCATTTGGACACAATCTGATTTATTTACTGAATAAAAAGCAAAATAAATGGGCAAAGTCAGATCAAAATGATTTCTCCACAATGGAGAAGTATTTACAGAAAGTGGGAAAGGCAATATCCCATCTCACCTCAAACCCCCTTGTTGATCTCTGTGGGTAAATTACGAGAGCTACTCTGAGATTATTATCTAGTTCATTATGACGGAGGAGGATGAAGCATATGGAGCCTTGACACAGGGAGGCAAGCATCTCCCTTTGCCATAACATTCAGGAACAGTTTTAGTAACACTAGGCCTTGGAGATCTAATTAGCAATGCAACTGCAGCTGAGAATTCACCTGCGGATTTCCGAGGTCCAGATGAGGAAACCTGGGGGTTACACTGATCTGGTTGAACTCCGCTGATCACTTTCTGCTCAGTTCAGGGATCACCCTAATTCTGATAACTACTCAAACCAGGATTACACGCTTTTGAGACAAAATGCACCCCATCTGGGAGTGAAAGAAGAGTAAGGGGAGACTGAACAATGTACTTAAAGGGTGTCAGGTAAGGCACCTCTTCCCCAAGTGGAACTAACCCTGTGCCCATCAGCATCACCTTGCCAAGAGCCCCTCAGACTGGATGAGCTCAAGGCAACGGGACTTAAAGATGGGCAGAAGCTCTGATAGCTGGTCCTACACAAACATCCTCGACCGAAGTCCACAAGAATTTCGCTGCATTAATTAATTATCTCTCAGAAGCACACGCCCCTCCCTGCTCCCAGGGCGGTACCTGCGATGTAGCGGATCTCCGGCAAACACATCATTAGATCCGGGAAGCGGTTGGGCTGGTGGGGGTATTTGTACTCTGTGAAGTCCTGGCAAACGTACCAGTACCGCTTATTCAGCTGCTCCAGCTGGGAGGCGTTGGTCAGACCCCTGATATCTGGAAAGGAATACAATTAGAGCAATCAAAACATGACAAAAACACCTCAGAGAGCAGCAGCCTCACACTTACTGCTGCTTCTTCATGACAGACTGATTTCTGTCACTCTGATCTGGGTTCCTGCTTTGGAGACTGGCTTCCAGCACCCAGTCAGACCAATACTGAAATTCCCATCTCCCCTCCTGCTGTGCCTGCATCACGGATGTGTCTTTGTAAGTGTGTCTGGATCCAGGATTTCCCTCCACAAAAGGCTGGGAAGAGAACGGCTAATGTCCTACACTGCTCACCTGCAGCTCAATGAATGCTCTTGGAGAGAACAGCCTCAGCAACCTGAAATCCCTGCCTGGCACAACACAGCCAGGTGTCAGGGTTTGGTTTTCACAGCAGATCAGTGTGACACCTCCCCAGACAGGAGCACATTGGTTTTAGCTCTATCATCTTGGCTGAGGACAGCACTCAGCTCTATAATTAAAGATATCATCACATTTCTCCCCATCTGCCTATGAATTTTGTCACGGGAGCTTTATAAACTTGTCAAGTTCTTGTCTTTAAATTTAGCTTTGCCAGCGTCAGGCAACACACACAAAGGAAAAATGGACAGGCAGGAAGTCCCACTGGCAGCGAGAGCAGCAGCACTGGCAGGTCCTGGGGAGGATCCAGCACAGCAGCGAGGAAGCTGCGGAGCAGGCTCGGAGCTGGGAGACCATCTGACGGAAGAGGCATTGATCTACTGCCCAAAAGCTGACTTTTAAAAATAAGTCTCAGGTATTTCACATAAAAAATTGCAAACTTCAACTAAAAATAAAAGAAGACAGGAAGTTAATGAAAATACATTTTGGAAAACAATGGAGAGAGCTCGAGAAGTGCATTATCCAGTGTCAGGAAACTGCCCAGGGAAGCAAACCGGAACCTCAGCCCGGCACAGATTGAAGTGTCAGCATTATCTCCCTCTGGAAACGAGCGGGGGAGGAGGGAGCCCGCAGCACATTTTTACAGACTGCAACTATCTTTCACAGTACAAAAGGCTCAGGGGACATTTATTTCCAAAATTCCAGCTGAACACTATTCACTGAGCATTTGTCTCTGCATGGATTTTGAAATGCCCAGGGTCTTGGAGCCTGAACTGCCAGCTTTAATATGCTGCTTAATCAACAGGAGGATCCAGCCCTGTCCTAGGCTGAATTCATGGCCTGCATGTAAATACTTCATTTGTGATTACCTTTCACTGTGAAGAGTCAGATTTAGGTACAGAACTTAAAAAGTAGGAACCCAGCTAAGAAACCTAAGGACATATCCTGAAGGTAAACATTTTAATGAGTCTGAAAAACTCTAAAAAGAGAGGAACCACTCTTACAAACTCACCCATGGAGGCATAAAATGCACAAGAGGGGCCGTGGCTCCTCTTTGCCTCACCTTGGTTGAGGAAGTTGATGGCTTTCATGCAGGCATACTCCTCGTTGCTGACCTTCAGCTGGTTGAATTTGCGAAAGAGGTAGATCAGGCGCTCCATCACCTCCATCCCCTCTTCACTGAACCTGGAGGACACAGATCACATCAGCACACACAGCACAGGGACTGGACAGTGAAGGCATGAAGCTTATTAGAGTAACTTCAGAGATTTTAACACCTTGCAAGAGAACTTTAAAGGAAGTCATCAAACTGTCTGAAGTCTGCTGGTACCAAAAATAAGGAAGAAAATGTCTCGGTTACAAATGCAGAATGATAAAATCATGGAATGGTTTGGGTGGCAATTACCTCAAAGCTCATCCAGTCCCATTCCCCTGCCAAGGGCAGGGACACCTTCCACTAGACCATGTAACTCAGAGCCCCTCGGATGGGGAGTCCACAATCTACAGATATTTTTAGGAAAAAAAAAACCCTCTTGGTGATTCAGTTCACCACCAGCCTGTTCTAACAGCAGAGAAGGTTTCACAGAACCTGCAGAGAAACCAGTGACAGAGATGGGCAGCACAGGGCACACTGATGCACAGGGAACACACCCCAAAATCTCCTGGAAAATTGGCTGGTGGGGATTTAGTGGGTGCAGAATGAGGTCCTCCTGCTAAAGAGGGTGCCACACTTCATCAGGAGAAACACCCCACAAGTGCACCATGAAAAAGCCATGGGGAAGGACCGAGCTGGAGCAGAGTGGGAGGGTGTGGAGGGCTGTGGGTGTCTGCAGGCACCTCCAGACCATCCCACGCCTGCCCAGGGCCAGAGCAGCCTCTTGGGAACATATCTCACAGCAACAGCCCCGGCTTCAAAGCAGGCACATATTGCAGAAGCACTCAGAAGTGGGACAGAAGTGTTTCGGGAAGCTTCAGCGTGCTCTGGCATTGTGCAGCACAAAGAATAAGAGCACAGCCAGCAAGTCATCTCTGAATAGAACAGAAATAGAACCTTTTTCACTGAATAATACCTTATTTTGGCATGTGTGTTTGTTTACTTCAAAGTTATTTGTAAAATGCATGGTGGGGTTTGACCTCTGAGAAGTGAAAACAAGCTGTCTGAACTCCAGGTCAGTTCTTCAAGAAAGTAATATTGTAAGTGATGAAAGCCTTGTCGGCTAATCTAAAGTTGTACAAGTTTTCTTGCTCTCCAGTTGACATTAAAAATCTTGCAGGTGCAAGATTGCAAAGCTCAAGAAGTTAATGAGCACAAAGACCACTCAGTCATCTGTGGGGTTTAATTGTTTTTAGAGCATGCACATTTTTACCAGCCACTCATCACTTCATAAATCCAGGAGAGCTCTTCTCTCATTCCTGCAGTTGAACTGTCTTACTTTTCTGCACATACTTTCCTCCCCCTTTCAAACAAAGCTGTTCTGTTTTTCACAGCCCTATTTCTTCTTGAGGACTGACTCCTCCACACACTCTTCCTCACAGTTTACACCAGGCAAGTTTCTGGCTGGGAGTTGTCGGCATCAGCTGGGGAGGAGGGGGAAGGGAAGCGCTATCAGGAGTGCTGGGGGAGGTCAGGAGTCTATTCATTTCATATTCATCTTCAGAAAAACAGCACAATAAAAGAAAACATTTGATCTAGCAGGCAAACAGAACATTTAGCCAGTTGTTAGAAGCAATTAAAACAAAAGGGGCTGGGGAGCTCATTCTATGCCTTTGTTTGTCACCTATGCTTTAGCACTGCTCCTGTCATTTTGTTAAGAGCAGAAATTAACCCTGAAGTGCCACACCATCCCTGCTCAGTGTGATTTCTCCAACCAGGTGTGAGCTCTGATGAAGTTCACTTTGCAGCCATTCCTGATCAATGCCAGAGGAGCCAGGGGCTCTTTGAGAACACCCTCAAATGGGACACCTCTCCAAAAGGGCCCCTCTCAAATCCAAAGTGACCAGATATTCCAGGAGTGCTTTGGACTGATACCCATGAGCTATCCCACTGCTGCTGGAGACAGTCAGGCCATGGCTGAAGGACCATGCAGACCAGTGGGAGGGAGCCAGGCAGCTCCAGACCCCTCATCTGTGCAGCTTCCCGCTAAATGGCTTTTGGGGTGTGCACTCTCCCAGGTTACTAATGACAATTAATGACACTTGAAAAGCTAAATCACAAGAGGAGACTGCAGAAGCATTCCTCTCCCAAGAACACCTATTTTCATCCATGTGCACAGATCTTCTCTGAAGGACCTTCAAGGCGACCAGCTCTGAATTGCCGGTTTCTGCAGGGCGAGGATTCCTCCTTTGTCTCGTTGTCTTACCTCTCGCTTGTATTTATCACAAACTCAAAATGAAACAAACACTTCTCTTGTGAGGCTCTGACCAGGACAGCAGGAACAAAAGGACAGCTGAATGCAAGAACAAGTGGCATTGTGGTTTTCTATGACCCTCAGTGCTCCTCGCAGGAGCTGCACCAGATGCACGATGAATGGCTGCGCAGAGCGGCGCCGCAGAGCAACCTGTCCCAGGAAATGAGACACCTGGGGCCAGCTCCCCGCTGTGGGCTCAGCCAGCCAGTGCCTCTGCTTGTCACAACAGACGCACAAAGGAGCCCCCAAGAACCACGAGATACTGCAATGGCTGAGGACCACAGCACTGTTTTAAATCTCTGCTCAGCAGACATTCCCTGGTGACTCCGGCAGCATCGTGAGCCCAGCAAGGGCAGAGAGCAAAGGGCAGGTGTTTAAAGGGAGGATGGGCAGCAGTTTCTCTAAATCCTACCTGTTCTGCCACAGTATGGTGAGACTGGGACTCTACTACCAAAGGAAGAATCTGTCTGACACCAAGACTACAAAATAAAATATCCAAACCAAAAAACAACACCCTGACCAACATGATAAATGAAAGGCAGGTTCTTCAGAGCATCAGATAGTCTGTACCATGGAAAAAACAAGAGCTAAGTTGCAACATCTTTAAATTTATCTAATCAAAACATTGAAATAGCAATTAATAATGAATACTTTGATAATACAGACAACCAGCTATGTGAGCAACCTTTCCACTGGCCCAAAGGGTTTTTAAATAAGGCTTTCTTTCCTGTGTGTCAGGGTTACCCAAAGTGTTGGTTAGTTTTATCCTCCTCATAAAAAGGTGGCTTGTAGGGCTCTGTTGGAGGACAACAGCATTGCTACGTGGAATTCAAACAGCCCCACCTATCACCGTGCCCTTCCCTGCAGAAGGAAGTTGTGATCCAGCACTGACTAACCAAGATGTGCTTTCTAAACCTGGAACAACTGTTCCCTAAGAAACAGAAAAGGAAATCAGCCACAGGTACAGTGACCTGTCCCAGGAGGTGGTCAGAGGACACCTGTCTGTTGGGCTCCCGTGGCTCCTCATGCCCAGATCTCAGTGCCTCACCCTGAGCTCAGCCCATCTCACCTGTGCAGCTCGTCGTCAGAGGGAGAGTACTTGGAGGTGACATCTGCAAGGTCACCAAAGATCTGCTTGCTGTAAACAGTCAGCGAGGAGAGCAGGATCAGCTCCTGCCACGTAGAGCTGAGCAGGCAGGTATAGTCCTTGATGGAGAGTTCGCAGAAGAACGGCAGCTTCTTGATCCAAGCAATCTGCCTGAAAAGCAACTCATCCGCCAGACGACACAGCAACGCAAACAGCTCTGCCTGAGTCACTTTGTACCTGCAGGCAGAGTTAGTACAGAGGCAGAAAAAACATTAAAAACGTTGAATGACATCATCTGACGGGGAACTTGGAAACAAGGCAAATGCCAAAGGAATTGGGTGTCACCTGGTGACAGGAGCCACGATGGTCAGCACCCACCTGACCTGCTCAGGCAGGGGCTGAGGGGAGTCCTCGTGGTCCCTGGGGTCACCCAGCAGCCAGCCTGGCCAGACCATGCAGCCCAGAGCCCCCTGCCAGGCCTATGCATCCCAGCCCCAGCCCCAGCCAGGTGGGATGGGGTCCTGTTTGCTTCTTGCCCCGTGGCTGCCCCTTGCCCTGGGGACATCCCTGTGTCACACGCCCCAGCCAGGTGGGATGGGGTCTGGTTTGCTGCTTGCCCCATGGCTACACCTCACCCTGGGGACATCCCCGTGTCACACGCCCCAGCCAGGTGGGATGGGGTCCTGTTTGCTGCTTGCCCCATGGCTACACCTCACCCTGGGGACATCCCCGTGTCACACGCCCCAGCCAGGTGGGATGGGGTCCTGTTTGCTGCTTGCCCCGCGGCTGCCCCTCGCCCCGAGGATGTCCCTGTGTCACACGCACCCGTCCTCGATGAGCATGGGGGTGCTGAGGGGCTCCAGGTCCTCGGCACACACCAGCTGGCTGATGAGGCTGTGTGACTGCGGGTCCAGGCTGCGCGGCTGCGGCGCCACCAGCGCCGAGTGCGCCGAGTAGCTAAAAAGGTGCGGCAGGTACTGGTAGTGCGTGGACACCGGCGTGCCCAGGTACTGATCCCTGAGTGCAGCGAAGCCGTTCAGCTCCACGGACCTACTGGAAGAGGAAAAGCTCTTCAGCACACCCCCAAAACTCCTCCTGATTCGTTACAGTGTCGCATCCAGCTCCACCAGAAATGTTAACAGAAATAGGGAAAGCAAACAGAGTGGAAATGCCTCTGAGCTCAGAGGATGCCCTGGAAATGCCCTGGAAAGAGGCAGGTATGCACACCCAGCCTGGCTGGGCACTGGGTCCACGGGAGGGAGATCTGGGAGTGCTGCTGAGCTGCCATTCAGGGAGCAGAGCAGAAACCCAAACCCACCTGTGCCCAGCCTTTCCACCCCGGCCTCCTTACAGGGCCAGAATTTAGGACTGTACATTAAGCACTCACACAGCCAGTGAACATAAACAAGGCCAAGCTTAAGCTGCAACTGAAAGCAGATGGGACCAGGTCTGAGATTCTTGCAGTGTTTGCACTCACAGCAGCCAACTTTAACATAACACCACCAATTACTAACACAAACGGTTTTAGAATCTGAGCACAGTGCAGAGAAAGAACTCATGCAGAATGAGCAATGAAAGGTGATCAAGTTCTCAAGATCAGCAGAAAACACAAACAATATAAACTGAGGTATATTTTAAATATAATTGTAACTCAAGATTGTCTTTTGCTCACAAACATCTCATTTCCCAGTTCAATTCTTTTCAGCCCAGTGCCTGTTTGTCTTAGAACACAATCAGGGAGGTAAGAACCTGCTGCATGACCAGTTTACACAAAGATGCACTCACATGTTTTCCCCACACTGACCCCAGGTATCACTCAGGGAAAGAAATCCAAGATTCCTGTAACACAAAATTCTTCCAGGGGTCATTCCCACCTTGAAGATGGAGTAGAAACAGGTGAAGGCTGGTTGCTCTCAGAAACTCCATTTCCAGGGGAGCTGTGGTCACTGTCTCCGTTGTTGCTCCATGACATGTTTGCCTCTCCCTCAAATTCTTGCCCAGACATAATTCTCTCAATCTCTTCCTCTGATATCTGTCAAACACAGGACACAACGGTTACTTTGGCTGGGATCTGAAAAGCAGAGCCTCTGTTTGCAAACACCTTGTTTGGGCACATCCAACAGGGCTGACCCTCCCACCCCCTGCAGGTACCACATCCTTCCTCTGCACTTAACAACACACAGGGAAAATTCTATTTACAGGTAATTGTGGTGACCTCCAGCAGCACTGTTCAAGTGAGGGTAGCACAGCAGACAGGAACTGACACATGAAAAGATGATGTCAGATGAACAGGGCTAGGAGCTGTAAATCAGCCACTGTCACACCGTGAAAAACCTGGCAGTAATTGAGGCCAGTGCATTGGGAACATCACTCAGGACTGGCAGAGGGAATGGCAAACAGGAGGTGGGGCAGGCTCTGCTTTGATAAAGCAATCAAGAGAGGCAAGGTGACACATATCAAATCAGTCAGGAAAACGTTTACAGGGAGACAGAGCTCCCTATTTTCCTCCAGATAAGAACCAGGTGGCACCTGAAGTAGCAATTGAGCATCTAATACTTAAGTTCTAGAGAGTAACACATACAAAGCTAAAATAGAGTAAAAAAAATTAAAATTGAATTCACTGTAATAGAAAGTTTCAAGAAAGTGATAGGCATGCTTCTGGAGGAATATTCCACCACTAATGGGGAAAATGCAACAAAAATTTAGAGGCTTTTTTTTTTTTTTTAATTCTGTGTATGTCCCTTAATGCAAACAGCAGGAAACAGGTCTGTGTGGTTCCAGGCAGGCTGTGCCTGACACTGCCCAGCAGGGCAGAGCAGTGCTTGCTTGGCTCCTCACACTTTGGGCTGGGCTGAGGGCTCCTTCCCAGGCACTCACACCCACAGAAACTGCTTCCAGTGTTATTTCTGTTTTGCTAAAATAAACAGTAAACTTTTAAAAGACCCCTCTTCCAGGAGCAAGCTGGAAATGGCCATCATTCCTCAGGCTGTGGCACAAGCTGCCGTGCTGAATCCCCTGGCGCTTTACGAGGCATCTCTGGACAAGCTGGGCCATCAATCAGACAGACATTTACTGGTGCCCTGCTTGCCACAGCTGAAGGGACTGCAGCAGGCAGATGAGATTTACTGGGAGGGATGGAGGGACAGACGTCCTTGTGTGGCTCACAAAGGACGGGGTGAGCCTGTCCGTGTGTCCAGGCAGCACCCAGCTCTGGTTACCAACCCACAGCTCCTGATGTGCTTCTGACAGAGCCAGAGCCCTCCAGGCCAGCAGGAGGCACGGCCAGGGGTGATGGAGGCTCACCCAAGCCAGGCTGAGCCCAGCCCAGCCCAGGAGAGCAAAAGCTGAAGGCAACCACGAGGGACAGGCACACGTGCTCACCTGGACAGGTCCAATGCTTTTGTTTCTGCCTCCTGGCATGCCATCCTCCCTGATTGCTGAAAGATACAACCAAGCCTTAGTGAGGAACACTACTGCAGGGCATTAAGCAGACACTTATGTTAAAAGAAGAAAGATACAACCAAGCCTTAGTGAGGAACACTACTGCAGGGCATTAAGCAGATACTTATTTATGTTAAAAGAAGTTTTTTATACCTCAAAAGATTGATTTCTTTCATTAAAGAAGTTTACAGAGAAACCTCCAGTGCTTAAGCAGCACACATCATGGTTCTCACCCCAAAAGGCACAGACACATCCATGGGGCTACAAGCATTACTCAAGGATTTTAGTTTCTTCATGTGCTCCTTAAGTGACAGGTAATGAAGGAATAACAATCCTTTATCACAATTAATTTCGGCATTATTTGAGAAGTGGAACAGGGTAAGGAACCCTATCTGAGCCCTGGAAATAACCCACAGAAAACAGAGAGGAGATGTTTGACCCTGCTGGTGCTGGCAAAGCCACGGTTTAAAACTGAACTTACCACCCTGGCCTGCACAGCTGCACTTCAGAGGGGCAGCCTCATTTCTCAGCTGCATTTTTAAGTCTCTTCAATCAATCCCCAGGGAGCTGCAGTGAAATCCAGCTAAGGGGATAAACCTGGAGCAGTTTCTGCAGCTTGCTTTCCCTCTCTCTGCAGAGGCCAGTGGCAGCCCTGCTCCTGGGTCCCCTTTATCAGGGCTCCATCTCTTTCCCAGCACGACCTGGCCAGCCTTGGCAGGAGGCTCTGCCCAGCTGCACGGTGACCTTGCTGCTGCACAGCCTCACCCTGCTTGGCACAGGGGCTGCAGGAGGCCCTCCCGGAGCAGAAAACCACACGAAATTCCAGCAAAAATTTCTGTCCCAGAAAAGCCACGCTGCTGCTCGGTTTGAGATATCCTCAGCTCAAACCCTCCTCTGTGCCTCGAGGCTGCTCCTGCAGCTCAGGGAGTGGCTCAGCAGGGCAAGGAGGGGGCCACGGGACCTGGGCTGTGCCTGCCCAAACCCCAACCACCGACCCGGGCAATGCACAGCACTGGCTGTTTATTTCCTATGAAAGCTCTTTTAAAAAATAATCAGTTTCTCAGTTAAAAAAAAAAAAAAAAACCAAAAAAAACCCTGTCATAGTTAACTGTTACCCCTTTAGGTTTTTTTAACTTACTGGAACCACAGGAATTCTGGGGGAATTTTTCTCATTTTACAAGATATTTTACCACTAACTGTGATTTAGAAGCCTCCCTTCAGCTCATTCCATTAAGAGCCCTGGGCATAAATTGTCTTGGTCTTTTGATTTCAAAGTGTAATTTTAGCAGACAATAGCTTACACCTGTAGGAATGTTTTTGCTGGTGGTCCATCAAAAAGGCCTCAAGAGACCTGAATGGTTCCCAAATACAGATAGACTCTCTGGAATATCATCCTGCTCCTGGGCTGCATGACAGCCAGTCTCCTCAAAGCTGGCTTTCCTACCAATGGAAGCTCTGCACCTATCTGAATTTAAAAATTATTATATTTAGACCTGATATTGAAGGGATTTTCCAACCCAACAATGCCATAACTTGGACACCAGGGCAGGGAGAGAAAGCTCCAGAAGCCAACACTGAGGATCTCCAGGGCTGCCTGCAGCCTGCCGACCTTGGCGGAGACACCAGCGGGGAGTGAAATTCACACGGCTGTTGGGAGGAGGAAGGGAAGGGAAAGGGGGAAAGGAAGGGAAGGGGAGAGGAGGGAAGGAAGGGAAGGGAAGGGAAGGGAAAGGGGGAAAGGAAGGGAAGGGGAGAGGAGGAAGGGAAGGGAAAGGGGAAAGGAAGGGAAAGGGGGAAAGGAGGAGAGGAAGAGAAGGGAACAAACCCACAGCACAGCCCCAACACCCCCAGACCCACAGCACAGCCCTGACACCCCAAACCCACAGCACAGCCCCAACACCCCCAGACCCACAGCACAGCCCTGACACCCCAAACCCACAGCACAGCCCCAACACCCCCAGACCCACAGCACAGCCCTGACACCCCCAGACCCACAGCACACCTCCAACACCCCCAGACCCACAGCACAGCCCTGACCCCCAGATGAGGGACCCAAGCTGTCCCCAGACCCACAGCACACCCCCGATACCCCCAGACCCACAGCACACCCTCTGATCCCAGCTCCCCCATCTCGGCCCCGATGTATTTCTAAGGAAGGTCCTGGTGGATTTGCAGTGAATTTATGAAGTTTCAGTGCCTCTGACAGGCGGCTGCTGCGTGAGCGATGGCCCAGAGGCCAGCAGCAGCCACAGCTAGAGCCGTGTGTGACACTGGGGTGTGGCACACGGGATGGTCACCGCACGGCCAGGGCAGCACTGCCAGCTCCACCTGTGCCAGCACACCAAGGAATGCCTGCTTTTAACAGGTAACAGCAATTCCAGAGGGTAAACACACACAGGACTGGAGTGAGGAGTACAGGTGTGACACTGACATCAACCACAGGCCGCTCTTTATTACTGATTTCTGAGTTACTTCAGACTGTCCATGCTGAAGGTGACACCACAGCATTCACCTCTGCACATGTGGGGATCAGGGGTGGCTGTCCCTTACCCCTGCACACGTGGGGAGCAGGGCTGGCTGTCCCTCACCTCTGCACACGTGGGGATCAGGGTGGCTGTCCCTCAGCCCCGCACACGTGGGGAGCAGGGCTGGCTGTCCCTCACCTCTGCACACGTGGGGATCAGGGTGGCTGTCCCTCAGCCCCGCACACGTGGGGAGCAGGGCTGGCTGTCCCTCACCTCTGCACACGTGGGGATCAGGGTGGCTGTCCCTCAGCCCCGCACACGTGGGGAGCAGGGCTGGCTGTCCCTCACCTCTGCACACGTGGGGATCAGGGTGGCTGTCCCTCAGCCCCGCACACGTGGGGAGCAGGGCTGGCTGTCCCTCACCTCTGCACACGTGGGGATCAGGGTGGCTGTCCCTCAGCCCCGCACACGTGGGGAGCAGGGCTGGCTGTCCCTCACCTCTGCACACGTGGGGATCAGGGTGGCTGTCCCTCAGCCCCGCACACGTGGGGAGCAGGGCTGGCTGTCCCTCACCTCTGCACACGTGGGGATCAGGGTGGCTGTCCCTCAGCCCCGCACACGTGGGGAGCAGGGCTGGCTGTCCCTCACCTCTGCACACGTGGGGATCAGGGTGGCTGTCCCTCAGCCCCGCACACGTGGGGAGCAGGGCTGGCTGTCCCTCACCTCTGCACACGTGGGGATCAGGGTGGCTGTCCCTCAGCCCCGCACACGTGGGGAGCAGGGCTGGCTGTCCCTCACCTCTGCACACGTGGGGATCAGGGTGGCTGTCCCTCAGCCCCGCACACGTGGGGAGCAGGGCTGGCTGTCCCTCACCTCTGCACACGTGGGGATCAGGGTGGCTGTCCCTCAGCCCCGCACACGTGGGGAGCAGGGCTGGCTGTCCCTCACCTCTGCACACGTGGGGATCAGGGTGGCTGTCCCTCAGCCCCGCACACGTGGGGAGCAGGGCTGGCTGTCCCTCACCTCTGCACCCGTGGGGAGCAGGGGTGGCTGTCCCTTACCCAGACCACAGCTGTTCCAACCAGAGCAGGTGGTCAGTAAAAATCCTCACACCTCACCCGCGGGCAGCAGCTGCTGGTCTAAGCACCCATGACAGCAAACAGGTAACATCTCTTGGGTTCTAAAAGCCTGTTTAAGTGACTTAATTTTTGTCTCCTTAGTAGATTGAAGCATGGAAATAGCCACCACTTTGCTCAGCATAAATACAAATATTCTCAAAATATTCAAACATGCTTTCAATTCATACAGACTGTTCCTCCATACAGGAATGAAGTCGCTCAGAACTCAGCACCCGTGCATAATTTTTAATCCACGCACCATTCTGCTGAAGTTCTGGGGTGTTTTTTGCAGGGAGTTTCGGAGGCAGCACTGCAGTACGAGACGGCAGCCGAGGGAAGGGCGGCCCCCGCGGTGGCTCCGTCCCCTGTGTGTGCCTCCCCCGCGCCGTGGCAGCCCCCCGCAGCCCCCCGGCCGTACCTTTGCGGTTCATGCCCATCTGCAGGCACTTGAGCAGCCGGCAGTACTGGCACCTGTTGCGCTGCTTGCGGGACATGACGCAGTTCTTGTCGCGGCTGCAGCGGTACACGCGCTTGTTGCAGATGCTCCTCTTGAAGAAGCCCTTGCAGCCCTCGCAGGAGATGATGCCATAGTGCAGCCCCGTGGCCCTGTCCCCGCAGATCAGGCAGGTTCGCTGATCCACCCGCTCATCTGCAAGGCAAGAGGGAGCTTTGAGGAGACCCGGGGTTGTGTCAGTGGGTCTGACTGAGGGGCAGCCCCTGAGCATCCATCCCCCAGGGGCAGCAGCTGACAGAACCAGAGGACACAGCCTCAAGCTACGTCAGGGAAGGTATAGGTTGGATATTAGGAAAAAATTTTTCACCGGAAGAATAATGAAGTACTGGAATGCTCTTCCCAGAGAGGTGGTGGAATCACCATCTCTGGATGTGTTTAAAAAAAGGCTGGCATAGTCTAGTTGAGGTGTTAGGACATAGGTTGGACTTGATGATATTAGAGGTCTCTTCCAGCCTCATTACTCTGTGATTCCCTTCCCCACAGCCAGGCAGGACCCTTGGGGCTCTCCCCAGCAGCCATGGACCTTCCTGCTGTTCCCAGCAGAGAGGAGCAGTAACTCCAATGGGGGAAAAAGGTTCTGAAATGTCCCACCTCAACTGCACAGAGCAGGGTGTGCAAATACACAAACCTGGCAGACAGCAGTGACTGTGAAATCCTGTCATAGCTCACAGACTCCAGGGGCACCTCTGGGCTTCAAAGGCCTCGCTGCCCTCACGAGCCACCCCAGAACCCGAGAGAACGTCGGTACAGAAACCATCGTGCAGCCCAGCCACAGCGATGTGATTGTACTGATCCTTTCCCAAATCTTTGAAAAGCCTTTGGATGACTAAAAATGTAAATTTCAGGGCTCTCCGCAACAGGAGCTGTCACATTAAATTCAGTATTTTAAGACTCTACCACTGCCTGAGGGAGAGAGCAGAGATGATGCTCGGCTCAGTGAGATGTCCAGACAGGGATGTCAGACAGAAGGAAGAAGAAAATGATGGTGAAGAGACCCAGGTAGTGCACCCAGAATCTCATCACCTCCTACTGCACAGGGAGGCCTAAACCTCACTTCAACCAAGTCAGCTATGCTTAAAATAATGCCGGCAAGTTGCACCAGCAGCTCTTCCTGCAGCAGATGTTTCACAGCTCAACAGTTTAACCCCTTGCACGCCAGGCCAAGCTGCCCCAGCCCCCATCTCATGTTTTAACCCAACAGTTGCAAACAGATCTGCACTGCAAAGGTGGGAGCTATTCAAATACATTCGGGGACACACAAATCTGCAGTATTCCAGCATTCTCCAGTTGCTTTCCCAAATGTCAAACATTACCCAGATGACTAGATCACCCTGGCTGAGCCAGAGAAAGGAACCACCCTGCTGCTTCCCACTCGGTACACCCTTCCCAGGGATGCTGGTTAAACCAGGCTGTCTCTGGTGTTCCTGAGGCAGGACAGTGCCATTGCCCACGGGGGCAGGAACACCCACGGCCCAGGCAGGACCAGGAGGTGGCACAGGCTCTGAGACTGCCTGGGCACAGAGCAGGGCACAGAGCAGGGCACGGCAGCTCCCCGTGCCCACCATCCACACTGGGAGCCAGCAGGGAGCTCAGACAGGGCAGACACAGCTGCACAAACCCACAGCGTGCCTGGGGTGCTGCCCACAGCCCTGCTCCTGTCTGCACACACCTTCCCCAGCCTTGGGCTTGTGAAGATGAGCTGAGTCAAACTCGCTCCATTTAGATGTGACCAGGGAGTTTTCTGACACAAAGGTGTTTATCCACAGGATGGATTTTTGGAGCAGCGGGAGGTAAGAGTCACAGTGAAGTCTTCTCCAGCCTCAATAAAGCCCAAGCAAGCTGACAAACCAGGGTGTAGCTTCTTACTACTGCAGCACATATGAATGCAAGAGAAATGAATGAGCCAAATGTTTTGGGACCAGAAATTAAACCAGTTTTCAGTTACACAAGCCAAGTAAAAATCTAAACCAGCTGCTCCTACTCACAAGCAGCTTTCTCCAGAGCTTAAACCCAGTAGAAACCAGAACCAATCTGTGTTAATCTCTAAAAGGTTTGCTTATGCACAGCATGCACATTTGCACTGTTCTGCAAATTTCACTGTTATAAACCATTAAAATAAAGGGATGAACAAAGGAAATACAAACTTTAAGTGAAGAAAATTCCTGATTTGCACCAAAACATTCCCAGTTTCACATGACAGAGCACCTCAGGCATGTGCTGCACCCGAAGGAATGTGGGTCCAATCAGGAGTGGGGCTATCTGAGCATCTCTGTAGGGAGGCAGCTAAACATGACTTTGTAGCACCAAGGTAATCTCCACCTTCAGCAATCTGATAAACGCGGGGAGGGGGCCGGGGATTAGGCAGAACAGAGGAGTCCTCTATCTGCAGGGTTTAGCTCCCAGCCCTCCCCCTGCTCGCACAGCGGGGCCATAAATCCCGGGGTCAGCAGCAGTGCTGGGCTGGGGACAGCAGCGCCGGCCAAAGGAGCACACAGGCTGCTCCAGCGGCAGGCACAGCCCTGGGCTCCCTCCTCAGCCGGCAGCCTGGCTGACCATGTCAATGAGGGCTCATTTCCAGGCACAGCTTTTTTTGTTGTGGGAAGAATAGGGCCGTCACCCAGGCAGTGTGGGAAGGGCGGATGATTAAAGCGAGGAGGAATCGGAGCCCTTCCCTCCTTGCCATGCCTGTCTCCCCAGCCCAAGGGGAGATGGTGTGGATGGCCCCTGGCCACAGGAGCCGCACACATCCCTGCAGACACTGCTGCCTGGTTTGCAGGTTAGAACTGCCAACAGCAGAGGCACACACCGGGAACAAAGACAGAGCCCAGGGACCGCAGAGGTGTCCGTGCTCCCCACAAACAAAACTGGGAGATGGAAAAGGATGGCCTGCACAAAGTCTCAGAGGTTTAGATCTTTAAAAAATCCTGCAGGGACCACAGCCAGGCTGCCCTGTGCCCACGGGTTTGCTGCTCCTGACCTTTGCCAGTTTTCACCGCACGTAACACAGCGCCTGGTGTGGGTGAAGGATGGGAGAGACAGGGCAGAACCACAGGGAGCTTCACAGAAACGATAAAGCACCAGCAAACCTAAAGCAGCTTTGCACTGAGGGTGCTCTGAACTCCCTTAACCTTGAAATTTCACTAGGATATCAAAACAGATAACAAGAAGAGCCATTTTTAAGTGAATAAGCCCTCCCTCCTCCCTGTGTCTGTCACCTCTCATCTCACTGATTCCTCTGGTTTCAAACACTACACAAGACAACACAGATTAGGACACAAAGCATTTGGTAAGAAATTTTTTCAAATACCTGTTTTATTTCAGAGAGAGAGCTGAGGAAGCTTCCCCCTACCCCCCTCCCCAATTTTCCTGATGGGCCTTACATTTAACAAACTCATACACGGGATATTCTGGCTTTGTTCTCCCAACCCATTGTAGCAGGGGCCACTAAATCAAACAGTTGCTGCTACGACAAAAGCACTCACAAAAATCTCAACCTCATCTTGAACCCTGAAGATTTTTATGGCTACTCCCTCGCTAGCCCCTCCCCGAAGCCACATTAAAGGATGTATTGTTTTCAGAGGTCATGGTAGGTTTCATACCACATACAATGTAAATTCTCCAAGAATATGATGATGTTACACAAGAATCACAGAAGATGGAGTAAAAAAGAGAAAAAAAAGCTCTCCTCATCTATGTTTTATAAGGCAAACAGTAAAAGCAATACATTAAATTTTTCAAGAAACTGCCTTTTGCCCTCAGCAAAATGAGCAGTCTTGATAATTTTTTTAACAAAGTTCCTGTGAATTTCCAAAAGGAAATATCTCACAACCCTGCTGAAACACATAGCAAAGACCCAAACAGAAAGCGCTACGGCTCGTGAACGAGATTCTAAACCACACAGCAAACGAATTAAAGCGTGGGGACACACAGCCAGCAGGTCCCTGTCACTGCTCCCACCTGTGCCAGCCCTGTGCACAAACTCCCAGCAGTGCTGCTGGAGTGGCACTGCTGTGTGCCAGGAGGGGACCGGGCGCTGGCTGCAGGTCCCCAAGGCTGCCAGGGGCTCACAGCCCGCCCGGACACCCGGCTGAAAACTCGACAGCAACTGCAGCTCCCTGGGAGATTTACCTCGGAAACCTGGCGGGGTGTTGGGGATTTTCCACAGTGGTGCTTTGCGATGGAAGAGAAACAAAGACTTTATTGCCAAAAGTAAGGCCAAAAGTGAAGGCACAACCCCTCACCCAAACCCCAGAGCAGACAGCGCTGGGATTTGGCCTGGCCAGAAAGCAAGAGGCAGAACGAAGAAAGCTGCCACAGGCAAAACTTCCCATTTATACAACAGAACATGAATTTACAGCTAAGACAATCTTTTACGGCTGAAAAAAAAAATTACAGGCAACACTCAGCACTGCAATTCATTAATATATTTAACCTCTTTTCAGCTGTGTGCCAGTTATTTGCTTCTTCATTAACTGACCCTCTCGCATCCCCCTTTAGCTGGGTTTAAATCTCAAGCTGCTAAATACCAGCTGTTTGGGGAGGGGGGCGGAGGGGGAGATCTCACACATGTGTTACTTGAATCCCAACCGCATCTCGCTCTCCTCTCGCCTCTGGTGATGCCTCGAACACAAACAAACGTGTTGGGCTTTCTTTCCCCTTTATTTTTCCTAACGACGCTTTTCATTGTCAATTTTTAGTTTCAACAAAACCACCCTGTGAAATTCAAGCCCCAGAACCGAAGGAACCCCCCCCCCCCCCTCACTGTGGAGCGCTGCATTGTCCAAACAAGCCCACCCCCAAACCAGGCGCCTTTGCTTCAGGGGCCTTTTTTTTTTTTTCTTTTTTTTTTTTTTTAACTTATAATCGATGAACACAGGGATTAAATTTTCTGTGCGCTGGCCCCTGCTCGGGACGGCAGCGAGCTCGGCGGCAGAGCCCAAAGGCGCACAAAGGGCCGGGGGCGTCCCGCTCCTGCTCGCACCGACCCCCAGATGGGGGTCCCACCCCACGCTGGAGGCGGGCGAAGGCACCGCGTCCTGCCTGGCCAGCCCGGCTCAAAGAGCAGATTGTGCTGCCCCGGATCAGGCCGGCCGCGGTGAGAGCTGAATAGAATTAACCCTCTGTGAACTAAAACAAAAACATTTGTGTGCCCAGCTGGGAGAAAGGTTAATTTAAATGGACAAGCCTCCTGTTAAAAAAAAAAAAAAAAAATAGAGGAGAGGAAAGAAAGAGGAAACCTGCAACCTTATTGCCTGTACTGTAAAGAGGTGTTCTACTGACAGAGAGCCTCATTTTAAAAAGCAGTAAGTGAGTACTGGAAAGAAAAGAGAAATACTGCACTAGAGGAATGGCCAGCGCATCTCCCTCTGGTCTCCCTTTCCAGTAATGAAATCCCAAACTCACGGTCCTATTCCACCCTGATTCCGTTTCTGCCCAAGCAGAGTTCAATTAAAAGAAAACCCCATTAAAACACCCAGAAATCATCAGCTGCTCCTTTTCGGCTCGGTATAAATCAAGAGCGTGCAGCTGATGAAACCCATCACCCTTCCCCAGCCTGGGACACATCTCCATTTGCATATCAAAAACTCATCTGTGAAATGCAACTTCTCCGGGGCAAGGGAGCCCCGGCCCCACGGACCGCGCGTCCCGGGGGCTGCCGAGGGACACGGGGCGCTGCGGGACCCCCGCCCGCTCCATTGTGCGGGACGGGGACAGGACGGATCCTTCACCGCGGCCAGTTGTTGCACAAAGAGTTTGGAACAAAAGCCCGCACGCCAAAATGTGCCCGACGGCCGGGACCGCAGCTGGGGACACGCACGCGGGTCTCGGTCGCTGCCCACGCTCGCAGACCGACCCCGAGTTCAGTCGCTCTCTCAAGTGATCGACTTTCGCTGATCCAATTTTAGCAAAATAAAGCTCCGTGCGCGGTGCCCGCCCCGGCTCCGGCGCGCTCCGAACGAGCACTGGGTTACACCGGTTTGGTTTTTTGAATTGGTACATTACAAAGCGGTAAGACGAAGCCCTGACTTACCTGCCCTAAAACCTAAACCTTGGCCCTGCTGAAGCTGTCTAGATGTGCAGCCACTGAGAAGGATGCTGAATTAAGAAAATCTGGAAGTAACCCCACCCCCAGCAGTCCGGGCTGCGGGAGCAGGGCCTGGGCACAACAGAAACAGCGACTTCTGCAACGTGTGCTACCAAACACGCGGTGCTCTCTCCTGAAATATTTCATCCTTACTCTGAAGGTGAGCTTTACCGCTGTCTTCAGTCACGGAGGGGAAAAAAGGCTGCAAATACCGGGGGGGCAGCGCCGGTCCCGGGAGGGCGGGCGGGCGCTACCGAGCGCCTCCGTGACCCCGATACTATCCATAATTAACGATACTAAAAAAAGCTCCTCCAGATGGTCGGAGGGATTAGGAAGTTTAAAATATAAACAAATTAAGCCACAAAACAAACTAATGCCCTTTTTTTTTTTTTTTTTTTTTTTTTTTTTTTAATTGCATAATCCTGCTCGCAGCCCAGGGCTACGCCGCCCGGCCCCGCACCCCGGGAGCCGTGAAAAGGCAGGAAAAGGGGAAAGCCCGCACGGCTCCCTGTCCCCGCGGTCCCGCACGCCGCGGTCCGAGCCCCGCACGCCGCAGCCCGCGGGCGCCGGGACGGGGCGGCCCCGGGCCGGTAACGGCGGGGGGCGGCGGCCCCGGGCCCGCGCAGCCTCCGGCGGCACCGCCCGGACAAAGGCCCGGCCCCGCTCACCTTCCATGCAGGTCGAGTCCCGCTTCATCCCCGGCCGGCTCCTAGGGCCGCCTCATGGCGGCGGCGGGCGGGCAGCCCGGCTCGGCCATCGCCGCCACCGCGGGCCGCCCTATGCTAACGACGTGATGGCAGCGCCGCCCCCGCCGCACCGGCCCGCGGGGGGGCCGGGCCCCCGCCCGCCCCGCGCTGGGACTGGGCCACCGGCACACCGACCGACCGACCGACCGACAGACACAGGACCAACTGTCAGACTGACCAACAGACCGACTGACCAACAGACTGACCGACGAAGAGAACGACTGACAGACTGACAGACTGGCAGACTGGCAGACTGGCTGATCGCTGCCACTGCCTGAGGCACGGCCTGGGCAGTGCCAGGAGGGATCAGGCACTGGCCATCACCACCAACCACTGGCCACCAGCGTTGGCCACCGTCCCTCACTACTGGCCACCACTTTGCACAGTCCTTCCACGGCTTGCCAGGGAAGTTGAGAGAGAGCGCTGCTCGCTGTGGTGTGAAACAGATACCACTGACACAAACTGGCACATCAACAAAACCCGGGATCCTCAGCATGAAAATAAAAGTTGCCCAGAGCAGCTGTGGCTGCCCCATCCCTGGATCTGTTCAAGGTGAGGCTGAACAGGACTTGGAGCAACCTGGTCCAGTGGAAGGTGTCAATGCCCACGGCAGGGTGAGCTTTAAGGTCATTTCCAATCTAAATCATTCTGAGATTTTCTGAGTCTTTGAAAATGATTTCATTAAACTGATAACAAGTGCTTATTTTTAATTACCAGTGAAAAGCAGTACAGACACAGGCAGTAGAGCCGACAGGCACAGCTCTCCGTGCTCAGGGCAGTGCCCTCGGGGAAGCCCCCTCCCCTGCCCACACCTGGCAGAGCGCTGAGAACACGGACTGGGACTCCCAGTTCCCCAGGACTGGGAATTCAGGTGCTGCTTTGGTGGTGGTCGCTGTGGGGCAGGGGACTGGAGCCCTCCTCCTGCACAAGTGAGACACTGGAGTTAAAATGGGACACAATGAATCCATGACTGATTTAGCTGCCCACCTCAAAACAGGCACCACTAGCAGCACTGGTCATGGTGAGCTCTTCGTCAGACACAGCCACGTGTGTCTGCACCAGAAAATGTTTTCATGAAGCTCTTCTGCCCCTTCCTTCTCCCTCTGGGATAAACTCAGCCTGGGCTACAGTGCAGCTCATGTGTCCTTAGTGCCCAATAAACTGTCCTGGTGCTCAGCTGTGTTTGACCAGCCCAAACCAATGCTCACCACACCACAGCATTTAAGGGGAGGCCCAAGAACATTTCTGCTGATGCCCAAGCCAACCTGTCATCCAGATGTCTCAAAGTCTCAAAACTGGCTTTTCTGAAAAGCCACAGTTTGCTTCTGTTCCTCATCCTGAGAACTGCAGCACCCAACTGCGCTCTGAGAAATGCCTGGCTGAGAATAAACAAGGCTCAGAGGCAACAAAAGAGGTCATATTTCACTCCATCCCAAGCCTGAAATTTTATTGCTTTCTGGTGACATCCAGCAATGCAAGTAACCTCGTGAGCATGCAGGGCAGAGCTCAGTGGTGTCCTCCAGGCAGCCCGGGGCCCCTGCTCCAGCTGACCCTGCTTGGGCAGGGGATCTGGCCCCCAATCCCAACCCCAGCCCCAACCCCAACCCTTCCATGATTCTCTCTACTCATAATCCTGTTTTTAACCCAGCACTTCCACACAGCAGGTGCATTTGCAGGAGCAAACTCTCTAAGCCCACCCTGCAGTGCTTTGCTGATGCTGTAAATCCGTGCAGTTCTGTGCCAGTGAGACCCCCGTGGGACTGACATCCCCTTTTCCACAGCCACCCGACCCGGGCTGGCCGAGGAGCAGCGCATGGCCAAGGTAAGCCAGGCCTGGCTGCACTATTGACACAGCTGTTTGCAATTGTGCTGCTCCCAGAGCTCCACATTCTTCATCCCATGTGAGCCCCGCGCTGGCTCCCGGCACCCCTCGGAGGAGTGTGACCAGAATGCAGAGTGCTCATTTTGTAAAGCTGCAGCCTGGCGTGGACACAGCAGGCTGAAATGAAGCAACTTAATCTCCAGATAACACAAAGTTGCTCCCACAACTGATGTTTGGACCCAAAACACAGACACACCAAAAAAACCCCAAAACAAACCTCCCCCCCCAATTCTGAAACTGCAATTACAGACAAAACCTGGCTGGGAAAAATCATAATTGTCCAAACAAACCAAATCTTCCAAATTCTTCAAAACTCACATTAAATACACATGGCAGTTCATCCATACAAAAGCCTTAAGGGCAGAAAATAATTGCAGAGATCCAAAACTATTCTGTAAAATCACAGGCCAGCTGGGAATGGGCAGAGGGCAGGCAAAGAGACAGGAAAAGGAGTTCTGTTGCCTGACTCAAACAGTCATGCGGCAAGTCTGGGTAAAAGGAAAATAAAGTAGCTGGTTCTTATTTTAGCCTGTATCATCCAATTCCCACCCCAGACAGAAAAACCTGATGCTACTGTAACCAGCATTTAAGAATTTATAACAAAACCAGTTCACAACAGTAAAAGCCAAAAGCATTGCCAAAAAGTGGGCAAGTGGCACTGCTGCCTGCAAGGGATTTATTGTCCTGATGTTAAAGCCATAAGGGACAGGCACAGGAAGCAAGAGGAGGTTCTGCCCCTCTCCCCCTGCTCCCTGGTGATGTGCCATGAGATCACCATTCCAAAGAGAAGGAATTCTCAAAAGATGTGACTTTTTCAGAAATATGGAGACGAAGTGGCATCATGAGCCATCAAAATGGATGGAACAGCTCTCCCAGGACCAACACCATCCCTTGCCACAGGCGATCCCAAAAGCTTTGATGAAAACCCCGAATTTGGGCAGAGCAGGGTTGGCAGAGCTGCGTGGCCCCAGGACAGGGGCAGCCCTTCCCTGAGCTCTTGCTGTCCCACCCACGGCCGCAGTTTCATAATTCCCCGTGCTGCAGCGGGGCTCTGCCCATTTTCATGACAATCGGGGCTCTGTTGTGTCCCCGCAGTTCGAGCCATCAGCCCCTTTGTGGCAGGAACAAAGTCCGGGCTGCGACAACAAAACCCAGCACATCTCGGCGCTGAAGGCGACAAACCCAGGGCTGCCCCCACACCGCCGAGCTGGCCACGGACCAAACGACAGCACCAAGGGGATTTGATTTCAAGCAACGAGCAGATCCCAAGGAAATCCCCGATCCTGGCTTAGTTTTGATGTTACCAACAGTGGTGCTGCTGGCAGCATCTCTGCTGTGCAGCGCCTGAGCCTGCGTGGGTCGGCAGGAACCTGGGGAATGAGACCCAGCACCCACAGCCAGAACCAGCCTGGTTTGCAAATGGGGCTGAAAAAATGATAAAAATTCAGATTAACACATCTCAACAGCCTTGGTGCTGTGGATGTTATTGCTTTCAGGCATTGCAGTGAGAGAATTGGCTGGAGGTAAACACAGCTTGTACTTTCTCCAAAAGATCTATTCCACTCATTATGTATGCAGCTATTTCAGAGGAAAAAAAATTAGAATTAATATTAAATTGCTTAGAGGAGCTATGGAAGAAACTGCAAGGAATTATAATAAACATCCACCTGATGTCTGAGCTGTTCTTGATAATGGTTTAACAACAGATCAGGTAATTCCTCTCCTCCCTGGTGTTAAACACACCAGGAGTGTGGTGTTAATAATTCTAGTGAAGGTGGTCACTTGGTGCACATAAAATTAAGCTATTTTCTCCTTCTTACTAGTTTGATAGGACGTTGTGTAAATTGAATCCTTCTATCAATTTCCGGTTTTACCTGTTTATTTATATTTTTATTCGCCTGGCTACCAATTTGCCATCCCAGACAATTGAGGGGTTACAAGAAGCATTTCATTGCACCTCGCACACACAGCAGAGAGAGCTCTGTGTAACAGAGGAGAAGGCAGGGGGGAGGTTAAGGGCTCCTCAGAGAGGTCGCCTTCAGAGGAAAAAGGGAAAACAAATGGGATTGTAGGCATGGGAAGTATATGGTTTTACTGCCTTAGTGGGAAAGTACAAGAAAGGGGAATTGCAAAGGGAGAAGCTTTACATTTCTATGAGGAGGCAATCGAGTTCCTTTCCCTTCCTATGGGATAGCTCCATCCATTCTAAGAGTGCATCTCCTGTAACTCCCAACTCGGGTCACAGAGCCTCAGAGCACACTGGAAAACACGGGGAATTCCTGGGCTGGGTCCTGGCACCAGCGAGAGCCTCACAGAGCCAGGCACTGCATGGCTGGAGCAGCAGCGGCCAGGGCAAGGTCTGACCCTTGCAGCTCCTCCTGTGGGCAGCTCTTTGTGATCTTCAGAGCCCACAGCAGATGCAGCAGTGGGGCTTTGTCCCACATGTCCCACCTACAGGACCAGTGCACCCATCAGCCAGCGTGGACACGATGAGCCCAAACTCTTCATCCAAACCCAAACTCTTCATTCAAACCCAAACTCTTCACCCAAACCCACACTCTTCATTCAAACCCAGGCAGAAGATGATGTTCAGCAGGGTGCAGGAACAGAGGAGAGGCCTCTAGGCCGGGAGGCAGAGTGTCTCCCAGATTTGAAGAGGTGGGAAAATTCTGCGCATTAAAGTGATCAACTGAAAAGCCAAAAGATGACTTTATGCCAGACTTAGACAAACTGCAATCACACAGATACACCAGCCTGCTGCAGTTGCTGGTGTATTTAATAATAGCAACAACAGACCAAGTTTGTTATTATAACTGTTGTTATTATAGTTCTGAATAGCATTTACAAATTCCAGCTTGCTGGTGAGCAGCAATTTTTTGTATGCCCAGGGAAAAACAAAGAGTGAGGACATTTCCTCAAATTTCAGGTCAGATGGCAAAACAAAGGAGAAAAAACCTTCAGAATTACAACAGCAGCCAACACGTTGTTGGGACTGCAGCAGCTTGGGAGCTTCTTTGGATCATTAGGTGTTGGGGAAATGTTCAGATGTTCCTGTTTGGGAACGTCCTGGCTGCTCCGTGCCTCTTACACAGCGGTGACACTCGGCAGAGGACGGGGAGGTGGCACAGGGAGAG